GTTTGAGGGAGAGCATATTACTGGCGAATGTTAGGACTGCTTTCCACCTGGATTACTACATCCTACAAAGACACACGTGTCACCGGTTGCAAAGGACAGCTATCACTAAATGGAGACCCACTAAATGTTCTGAGCAGGCTAAAGGTGAAATGGAATACTGCTTCGAGAACATTAAGGTGCAGTAGAGTGGGAAGCCTGGAAGGGGAGAGAAGGGGGCTGTGCAAGAAAGCTTTGTAAGAAGACATTATTTACAATCTCTCTTCCTCTGCTTTCCCAGTGTCCATGATCATGGCAGATAAGGACCCTTCAGCTATCAGGTCTATTTTTCTTGAACCAATATAGCCATATAAAATGCTCTAAGGAATAAAATTTCAAAATTGAGTTATAGTAATTTTTTTCATATATCAACTCTTAGATTATAAACTGTGCATCATACACACACACACACACACACACACACACCACATATGTATTTTGGAGTTGGGGTCTCACTCTAACATCCAGGCTGGAGTGCAGAGGCATGATCATGGCTCACCACAGACTCCACCTCCTGGGCTCAGGCAGTCGTCCCATCTTAGGCTCTCAAGTAGCTGAAACTGCAGGCATGCGCCACCACACCCAACTAATTATTTGTAGAGACAGGGTCTTGCTATGTTGCCCAGGCTGGTCTTGAACCTCTGAGCTCAGGCAATCTTCCCACCGCCGTCTAAAGTGCTGAACTACAGGCATGCGCCAATGCACTCAGCCACAGGAATCTTAAATATGTATTTTTTATAATAGTACTACTTGTTTATTTTAGTAAAATTAGAACATGGATAAATAAAAAGAGAAAAAAAAACCATAATCCTACCACCCAGATTGTTTTGCTTTCTATTTAAACAGACGTTTTGCTTTACATTTTAAAATATAAGATCAGGGAAACCCCCTCAGGTCCCCTCCCACTATGAGAGCTCTTCCGTCCTCTCAATAAATCCTGCTTTCCCCCTGAAAGTATATATATGAGATCAGTTTTTACTTTCCATTTAGGTGCTTCTGCAAAGAAACAAACATTTGTCATCAGCTAGGTTTTATTGAGAAGATTTAAGGGGTCAGGAAAGAAATGGAACTAATATTTACTGAGAATCTACAACGGGACAGGGTAGTTTCACTTACATATTTTTAATTTCAAAACAACTCCATGAGGTTGGTATCGTTTTGAGATGAGGAAACGAAGACTCAGAGAAGTAAATTATGTGCCCGAAGTGAGCAGTAAAGGTTCACATCAAGGTCTGCATAATTCCAAAAAAACATGTTTTATATCATCATCAGCAAAATCTTTGCTTTTTATTAAAGCAAAGATACTATTTTAAATTATTAAGTTACAAATTGATTTGTCCATTTCATATAAAATCAGACATATTAACTCACTAAACTAAACTAAAGAATCTACTTATAATTTTAGGGCACAGCGTTCTACTTATTTTTATAAGGAGGGAATGACCAGTTTTTGTTGAACAAAAACTGCCAGGGATACTATAACATAACATTCATGATGTTATAATTTATAAGAAATTCTTTGTAAGGTTTTTTTTTCTGCTGACTTCCACATGAAATTTTTTTATTTATTATTATTATTATTATTATATTTTAGAGATGTGGGGAAAATTCAGGATTAGGTATCCTATCCATCGTACAGATAAAGTTTGGGCCTCCCTTTGGTCCCCTTTTCGCCTGGTTTGAGATCAGGCACTCTTATTGATGTTATGTACCCTCTCCCCTCCCCAGTAGTAATCCGCTACTGCCAAACCCTTTCTTATAGTATTATGGTAAATGTTCAGGGTCCCCTTATGAGTGAGAACATGTGGTACTCAGTTCTTTGTTTCTGTGATAAATCACAGAGTAATTATAGACTCTAAATGCATTCAAGCTGCTGTGAAGTTCATAATTTTGTTCTTCTTTATGGCTGCATGATATTCCATCATGTATATGTACCACATTTTTAAAATCCAGGTCAGTGAAACTATTTTTAGGCCGGGCTCAGTCTGTAATCCCAGCATTTTGGGAGGCCGAGGCGAGTGGATTGCCTGAACCCATGGGCTCGGGACCTGCCCGGGCAACTTGGCAAGACCTCATCTCTACAATAAATCAAAAATTAGCCAGGCGTGGTAGTGCGCACCTGTAGTTCCAGCTACTTGGAAGGCTGAGGCGGAAGGATCGCTGGAGCCCAGCAGGTCGAGGCTGCAGTGGCCGGCAGCGTCCCACTGCACTCCAGTCTGGGTGACAGTGAGACTCCAACTCAAAAAACAAAAAACAACTATTTTAAAAATAGTGAATAGATTAGTAGTTTTCCCCCCACTAAGATCTGTTAGCATACTTGTCATATTTAAATATAGATACAGTTTCTATTTGGACTTATTAATCAAGTTAATACATTTCTTTTTTTTTTTTTTTGAGTTGGAGTCTCACTCTGTCGCCCAGACTGGAGTGCAGTGGCCGCTTCCGGCCACCGCAACCTCGACCTGCTGGGCTCCGGCGATCCTTCTGCCTCTGCCTTTCAAGTAGCTGGAGCCACAGGTGCGTGCTATCACGCCCGGCTAATTTTTATTTATTGTAGAAATGAGGTCTCGCCAAATTGCCCAGGCTGGTCTCGAACCTGCAAGCTCAGGCAGTCAGTCCACTTGCCTCAGCCTCCCAGAGTGCTAGGATTACAGGCTCAGCCACCGAGCCCAGCCTCAAAGGGATATTAAAGGAAAGTATGGAATTGCATGGACACAGGGACCTTAAGAACCCACAAGCGTGACTCAAGCCTGTAATCCCAGCATTTTGCAAGGCTGAGGCAAGTGGATTGCCTGAGTCCGTGGGTTTGAAACCAGCCCAGGCAACTTGGCAAGATCTCATATCTACAATAAATAAAAAATTTGCTGGGCATGGTAGTTCCAGCTACTTGGAAGGCTAAGGCGGAAGGATGGCTGGAGCTCAACAGGTCAACGCTGGGGTGGCTGTGAACGCGTGCTACTACATTCCAGCCTGGGTTACAGAGTGAGTCTCCCAAATTAAAAAAAAAAAAAGCCGGGCTCGGTGGCTCAGCTTGTAATCCTATGCCTTTGGGAGGCTGAGGTGAGTGGATTGCCTGAGCCCGCGGGTTCGAGACCCGCCCGGTCAACTTGGCGAGACCTCGTCTCTACAATAAATCAAAAAATCAGCCGGGCGTGGTAGCGTGCACCTGTAGTTCCGGCTACAGAAGGCTGAGGCGGAAGGATCGCTGGAGCCCAGCAGGTCGAGGCTGTGATAGCCGGGAGGGGCCACTGCACTCCAGTCTGGGCGACAGAGTGAGACTCCAACTCAAAAAAAAAAAAAAAAGAATCACTTCTGGTAGGCACAGGAGATTGAGTGAGGCCACGGAAAGAATTTTCTTGGAGACCATCTTGGTTGAGGTTGGTGGCTGAAACCGGATTGTCCTTGCAGTCTCCCTTGGGAGACTTGGCATCAGGGGACCATGCCACTCCAGATAAACACAGTGTAAATAAAACATGTGCCTCCTTCCCCAAGGACCTTCCCTGGGATAGTTCCAGTGATTGAAATGGTCTTTTCCAAGGCCTATGCCAGAGCTGGTGGGCAGTATCACATGCTTCCTCAGCAATAACAGATCCACTAGGGCACATGGGATCAGGATGGGGTAACGTTTTAAAAACCTTGTTTTGAAGCTGGGCTCGGTGGCTCAGCCTGTAATCCCGTACCTTTGGGAAGCAGAGGTGAGTTCAAGACCCACCTGGGCAACTTGGCAAGATCCCATCTCTACATTAATCAAAACTAGCCGGGCGTGGTAGCGCAGCTACTCGGAAGGCTGAGGTGGAAGGATTGCCGGAGCCCAGCAGGTCGAGGCTGCGGTGGCCGGGAGCGGCCACTGCACTCCAGTCTGGGCGACAGAGTGAGACTCCAACTCAAAAAAAGCCAAAAAAACACACAAAAAACCTTGTTTTGAGCTAGGTGTAGTGATGTACACCTATTGTCCTAGCTACACTGGAGGCTGAGACAGAAGTATCACTTGAGCCCAGGAGTTTGAGTCCAACCTAGGCAATGTAATGAGAATCTTGGTTCAAAAGTAACTCAAACCGACCATGTCTTTGTTTTTTTGAGTTGGAGTCTTACTCTGTCGCCCAGACTGGAGTGCAATTGCCGCTCCCAGCCACCACAGCCTCACCTGCTGGGCTCTGGCAATCCTTCCACCTCAGCCTTCCAAGTAGCTGGAACTACAGGTGCGCACTACCACGCCCGGCTAATTTTTTGATTTATTGTAGAGATGAAGTCTCACCAAGTTGCCCAGGCGAGTCTCGAACCCGTGGGCTCAGGCAATCCACTCACCTTGGCCTCCCAAGGTGCGGGATTACAGGCTGAGCCTCCGAGTCCGGCTTATTTATTTATTTTTTTTGAGTCAGAGTCTCACTCTGTTGCCCAGGCTAAAGTGCAGTGGCATGCTCACAGCCACTGCAGCCTTGGCTGATGTTTAAGGGTGTTTAAAGATGTTTAAACCCATAGGTAAAAGTTATCAGGAGTCAGATTTCAGTTCTAGATTAGACTTGACCCTGTATGTCCTATAGATAAGGCTGTGATCCTAGTCAGTGGAGTTTTAGGCAGTGTTGGGGCAATAATGGGAACAGACTTTGGTTTAAGAAATCATGTAAAGTCAAGTTGCATGAAGAAATCTTACTCTGAGCATTCTTTGATTTTTTTTTTTTTTGTGAGCAAAAAAAGAATACAGTATTTTAAGGTGTTTCAAAATCTCTCTGATGCCAGGGATAATCTATGACTGAAGTCTCTCAATCTGAAAATAAGAGTGTTTTAGTCTCATTTTACACATTAGGAGATGTAGGAGTCAGAGTGGGCCAAAGAGGTCATGTCACATTCCAAGGTCCCGTAGCATAGAAGTCCTCGGCTTCACAGTCCTGACCTTCCCAGCTCATAGTGACGGTTGGAACCTGCCGCTTTCGCTCTTGGAAGGAACAGTGCTAAGGAACCCTGCAGGTCTTACCCACTCTTCTTCTCCTAGCTGCAAGCCTTCTTCCTGGTGACAGATGACATCATGGATTCATCCCTTACTCGCCGAGGGCAGTTGTGCTGGTATCAGAAGGTAATGTGGGCAAGAGGGTAGCAGTGGGTATGGGGACAGGCCACAGGGAGGTGGCTATATAGAAACTGATTGAGGTGTTTGGACGAATCTTGATCAGAGATTGATTGCTCGTCTTTCTCTTTGCCCCTGACAGCCTGGCATAGGTTTGGATGCCATCAATGATGCTTTGCTTCTGGAAGCATGTATCTACCGCCTGCTGAAGCTCTACTGCCGGGAGCAGCCCTATTACATGAACCTGATCGAGCTCTTCCTGCAGGTGTGCTCTAGCCCAGGGCCCAGAGGCTGCCCACGATAGCCTTGGCCTCTGTAGGACATTCTCATCTAGCTGGTTTCAGTGCACAGGAGATACCTGGGGTTGCCTAGAAGGGGAAGAAAGTGAGGAAGAGAGTTGTTAAGGGTGGTGGTAGTGGGAAGGGTTTCCTGTCCCTGTGTGATTGGAAGAAAGGAAGATAAAGGACTGTGTGTGTGTACGGGTCTTGAGTTTTGGGGCCTTCTCTCCCCCCTGCTACTTTTCTGATTCTGCCTAGTTGTCAGGCGGTTCTGGCATGTGGGCCCAAGATGCCTCATTTCTGGAGAGAGCCTGACTCATGGGCCATCTTCCTTTTCCTCAGAGTTCCTATCAGACGGAGATTGGGCAGACCCTGGACCTCATCACAGCCCCCCAGGGCAGTGTGGATCTTGCCAGATTCACTGAAAAGAGGTGAGGGCCTGTGGGAAACTTGTGTGAACAGTGAGTGAGGGCTTGGTGGGAATTGCCCTCCTGAGGAGTTTATTTCCCCCCTGCTCAGGTATAAATCCATTGTCAAGTACAAGACAGCTTTCTACTCCTTCTACCTTCCTGTAGCTGCTGCCATGTATATGGTGAGTGAGCCTCCTCACCCTCCTTGCTGTGCTGGTGTGGGCTTTTAGACAGGAAGGCACAGAGCAGACACCCTGGACACTGTTGCCCCACTGATGGCTGTATGACCTTGAGCAAGTCAATCTCACTGAGTCTGTTTCCTCAGCTGTAAGATGGCGATGCAGTTCCTGCTTCACAGGCTGTAAAGGTGAAGATGAACCGAGGCAAGGGACATGAAATGCTTAGCTCACAACAGGAGGACAGGACAGAACATCCTGCACCTAAGTGTGGACAGGAGTGGGAAGGAATTGGTTCAGGATGGGAGGGAGAAGCCTGGATTCAAGGTGGTCAGGGGATTAATAGTCTACCCTGACCTTGCTTCTCCAAGTTTCCTTTCCTTTCCTTTCCTTTTCTTTCTTTCTTTTTGAGTTGGAGTCTTACTTTGTTGCCCAGGCTGGGATGCAGTAACACACTCACAGCTACCACAGCAGCCTCGGCCTGCTGGGCTCAGGCAATCCTTCCACCTCTGCCTTCCAAGTAGCTGGAACCACACATGCACCACCTTGCCTGGCAAATTTTTTGAATTATTGTAGAGACGAGGTCTCGCCATGTTGCTCAGGCTGGTCTCAAATCCTTGAGCTCAGGCAATTCTCTTGCCTCAGCCTCCCAAAGTGCTGGGATTACAGGTGTGAGCCACTGCACCCGGCCTCCAAGTTTCCTTTCATCCTGAAAAGAAGCTGGAGGTTGCAAAAATTTAGGAGGAGGGATCAGAATGAATTCAGGACTGAGATTTGTGAGGGAAGATACGATCTCAGCACTTCTGGTATGGATTCAGCTCTGTGACTTCCAGGAAGGCCTAGAAAATAGTGGAATAGAGGTTGGGCCATTAGTCAGACTTCCTGATCAGAGAAGCTAAGGGAAAGGAGATGAGAGATCTGGAGCCTCGTGAGGCAAGATCCCATGGGAGGAAGTAGCCAGGAGGGTACAGGTCCTTCTGGGGCTTGGGTTATGGACCCCTCTTCCCTGTAGGCTGGCATTGATGGGGAGAAGGAGCATGCCAACGCCAAGAAGATCCTGTTGGAGATGGGCGAGTTCTTCCAGATTCAGGTAGGAAGCATGGCCAGCAGCAGGGGATGGGCACAGTTGCCTCCTTCCCTGCCTCAGAGCCTTGGCATTCCTCCTTTTCTGCCCCTCTGCCCAGGATGATTACCTTGACCTCTTTGGGGACCCCAGTGTGACTGGCAAAGTCGGCACTGACATCCAGGACAACAAATGCAGCTGGCTGGTGGTACAGTGTCTGCAGCGGGCCACTCCGGAGCAGTACCAGATCTTGCAGGTGCCCAGGAAAGGGTGGTGGGTCACTGTGCTGGTAAGAATGGGGGCAGAGCAGTGGTTCTCAGCTGAGGGTGATTTTGCAACCAGGGGACGTTTGGGAATGTCAGCAGATATTTTTTGTAGTTGTCATCACAACTCAGCGTGCGTGCATGCTCCACAGACATCTAGCAGGAAAAGGCCAGGGATGCTGCCAGACATCATACAGTGCACAGGACAGCGCCCCACAGCAAAGAATGAGCTGGCTCCAAGTTTCAGTAGTGCCAAGGCTGAGAAACCTTAGTAGAAGCAGCTGTGGCCCCAACCCTGCCTAAACATTTGGAGTGGGGAAGGGAAAGCTTTTAGATGGCTAGAGAAGCTGGAACACTAGAGGCAGGAGTGGGGTGAAGGTCAGCGAAGATGTTCTGGAATATGTGATGGGGGGGGGTCCTAGAGGCTCTGAGGAAGGCCAAGCCTGTTTTCCCCTTTCAACCCCTTCCAGGAGAACTACGGGCAGAAAGATGCTGAGAAGGTGGCCCAGGTGAAGGCACTGTACGAGGACCTGGACCTGCCAGCCGTGTTCCTGCAGTATGAGGAAGACAGTTACAGCCATATCATGGGTCTCATTGAGCAGTATGCTGCACCCCTGCCCCAGGTCATTTTCCTGGAACTGGTGAACAAAATCTACAAGCGGAAAAAGTGACCTACAGACTGCAAGGGCAGGGAACGGGGGCTCTCAATAAATTATTATATTTGAGTTGGAGTCTCACTTTGGAGTCAGTAATCTCACTCTTTCACCCAGGTGGGAGTGCAGTGGCCCGGTCATGGCTCACAGCAGCCATGACCTCCTGGACTTAGGTGATCCTTGTGCCTCAGCCTCCCAAATAGCTGGGACTACAGTCGTGCTGCCACCATGCCCGGCTAATTGTTTTTGATTTTTTTGAGTTGGAGTCTTACTCTGTGGCCCAGGCTGGAGTGCAGTGGCCCGCTCACAGCTACTGCAGCCGCAATCTGTTGGACTCAGGTGATTCTTCCACCTCATCATTCCTAGTAGCTGGAACTACAGGCATGTGCCACCACGCCCGGCTGGTTATTTGGTTTATTGTGGATTCAAGGTCTATGCTATGTTGCACAGGCTGGTCTCAAACTCCTGGGCTCAAGCAGTCCTGCCTCAGCATCCCAAGGTGCTGGGATTACAGGCGTGAGCCATCGTGCCTGGCACTCAATAAATTACTGTGTAGCTTTCTTGTGGTTCTGTTCTTTCTTAAGCCAGGCTGGGTCTGGCTCTTTCCAGAATGTACAGTGTGGGGGGCGGGGCGGCTGCAGGGAAGCCAGGACCTGGGGCCTTGGCTTAGGACATCTGGAAGCTGCTAGGTGGGCGACACCGACTAGACGTCAAACGCTGGAGGCGGGCCTGAGCTACGCCCCGCCCATACGTGGAGGGGTGCGGCTGCGCAGCGCCAAGTGGGCTGTCCTAGGGCCCCTCCCCTCTTCTCTGTGCCCCGCCGGGCGGGGACCGTGGGAGCCGCGGACAAGCCCAAGGCCGGGAGCGGTTCCAGCAGGACCCTGGTGAGGAGGGCTCAGCCCTTTGGGTGTGGACGGATGGGCCAGGCACGCGGGGTGAGGCAGGACACGGAGGAGTAAAAACGAACAGAAAAGGGGTGGGGTGGTGGCAGAAGGATGGAGACGGATGCGGAGAGAATGGGCGCAGCGCCGTTCCGGGGAGAGGGCGCAGGCTGCAGCCCGGTGGGGACGTGCGGGGCAGCCCGCAGATGCGGAGTGGACGTGCTGACACCCTTTCCCCCTCCAGCCCCCGCCCCTTTCCTGCATCAACCAGCCAAACTCCGCGCGTTGCCCCACCCCCACTTCAGGGCACCTGGGCTGGTCTCCCTGGGCTTCTTCCTCTGGGGCTAGTGGGTAGGCTGGAGGGCAGGACCGGACTGCGGCAGAAGGGACCGGGGGTCCATTCGGGCCCCCATCCTCTTCCCGGCCCCCGCCCCACCTCGGAGATCCAGAGCGCAGCCGCATTCTCTGACCCGCCCCGCTCCATCCCCGGGGGGGTTACATTCGCCTCCACCTGCAAACACTGCAGTGGAAACTAATGGCCGGGCGATGGCGATTTGCATCTCATTTAAATACCGCCCAGAGCAGCCGGAGCCTTCCCGGGCCTGCTCCCGCCGCGTCACCTCGGTGTCCTTCCCTCGGCTCCGGTCTTCACGGGCTGGTTTCCACCCCCCTGTTTTCTAGGTCTGCGCCCGTGGTTGCCAGGTAGGTGGATGCGAGGGCCCAGACCCTCCTGGTTCCCTCGAGCCAACCCATCGCCGCCGGCACCATGCTGTCCCCTCAGCGAGCTTTACTCTGCAACCTCAACCACATCCACCTCCAGCACGTCTCTCTGGGCCTGCACTTGTCCCGCCGTCCTGAGCTACGGGAGGGGCCCTTGAGCACGCCCCCTCCCCCCGGAGACACCGGGGGCAAGGAGAGCCGGGGCCCCTGCAGCGGGACCCTGGTGGACGCCAATTCCAACAG